TTTTTTTGAGACTGGGTCTCCCTGTATTGACCAGGCTAGATTGCAGAGACTTGAACATGCCTCACTGCAGCCTTGGCCTCCTAGACTCAAGCAATCCTTCTGCCTCAGCTTCCTGATTAGCTGGGACTACCAATGCGTGCCACCATGCCATGCCCAGCTTTTTTTTTTTTTTTTTTTTTTGGTAGAGACAAGGTCTCACCATGTTGCCAGACTGGTCTTGAACTCCTGGGCTCAAGTGGCCATCCTTCCACCTCACCCTCCCAAAGTGCTGGGATTACAGACATGAGCCAGCATGCCTGGCGAGATCTTATTTTTTTTAATTGCCTTAACATATGGCCAAAATATTTGATGCCATAAAATGAATCAAGAGAGCCATGATGCTTGCCATTTAGAGTCTTACATTTTGAAATAAATCAGATACAGTAAGTGGTTTTCCTTAATTCAAAATAATGGCCCTGTCCGTGATATAAACACTAACTTTGAGTGTTATCTTACATAGCAATAGCCAATTGTGTATAGCTTTTTCTCTGAAAGAATCTTGTATCCTCTTCTGTAAGTATCTTTCTCTACTCTTTGAGATATAACTATCATTAACACCCAACAAACATCATTTGGTAAATGACCTTAATAGTTACTAAGGAATAGTGTTCCATATTATTTTCTTGACTTTTACCAAGAAATCTCCTTCCATAAAGTTCTCTCTGCTTTTTCCTCTCCTTCTCACCCCTCTACACATGCACGCAGATGTAATTTTATGTCCCTTCTTAGTCTTAGTTGTTCTTTTTATTTGTTTTTCTCACTTAAAAATTTACTTCAAGTATAATAGTGACAATAAAACTGTACAGAAAAAAAATTTGTATATTTCAAGGTGAAATTGGAAATCATAACAAATGCCTTCAGTCTTTAAAATCTTTAAAGTTCTTTGAAGTATACTTCAGAATTAACTGCAAAATGTTTTACCTACTCCTTAGTTTTGTCTATAGAGTATTTTCATTAACTGCCAGAATTCATGGTATTCTTTTTTTAAATATTATCTTGTTTTGTTTTACTTACCCCAATACTGCTTTTTATAAGCAACCCATTGCAGATGTATAGAATAGTGTTTTCATTATGGGCTAACCTGCAAAGCTAACCATGATTTAAAGTATTATTTTGGATGGAAAATCCATTATTAATTTCAAACAGCTGACTTATGAAGCATCTTTTCGAACACACCCACTTGTAAATTAGGGAATTTGAAGAATCAAAAAGAATATATTCTTAAATGTATCAGTAAAAATATTTGGTTTGTAGTGTGGGCAACATAGTGATAAAATAAAATGTTTTGTAGCCAGGTGGCACATGCTTGTAGTTGGAGCTACTCAGAGGTGAGAAGATCGCTTGAACCCAGGAGGTCAAGGCTACAGTGAGCCACGATTGTGTTGAGCCACGATTGTGTCACTGCATTCCAGCCTGGGCAACAGAGTGAGACCTTGTCTCAAAAAAGAAAAAACGTTTGGTTTGGCTAGGTGTGGTGGCTCATACCTGTAATCCCAGCACTTTGGGAGTCCAAGGAGAAGAGTCACTTGAGCCCAGGAGTTGGAAACCAGTCTGGACAACATAATGAGACATCATCTCTACAAAACCATTTTAAAAGTCAACTGGGTGCAGTCATGTGCGCCCGTGATCCCAGGTACTTGGGAGGCTGAGGTGGAGGATCGCTTGAGCCCCGGAGATTGAGGCTGCAGTGAGACATGATTGTACCACTTCATTCCAGCCTGGGCAACACAGTAAAACCCTCTCTCCCAAAAAAAAAATTTGATTTAAGAAATTTTTTTTTGTCTGTAATTCTTTATTAGACATGCTGTTTTCTGATTGGCAAATTTAACAACTTATTTTTAGTCCTCACCCTGCTTCCATTGTTTCTGAAGCATTTAGTGGTTATCCTCCTCTGTAAGTGTATTTCTTTCCTTCTTTCTTTTCCTGTTTGTTTGTTTTGTGAGACAGGATGTCACTCTGTCACCCAGGCTGGAGTGCAGTGGTGCAGTCACCACTCATTGCAGACTTGAGCTCCTGGGCTCAAGTGATCCTTCTGCCACAGCTTCCTGAGCAGCTGGTACTATAGATGTGTATCACCACACC